CCTTTCCACTGGGAAAAAATGGGATTTGCAAAAATGTCTTTTTAATTAAAGTTATTTTAAAGATTTGGAGTTAATAAAGCGTGGCTAACTTAATTTCAAGTAGGATATCTTAAATTTGATAATTACGTCATGTGGCGAGTATTTTTGCAACTATCACAGCTCGTTTGAAGATATAATTTACGACATGGGATATCAAGTTAACGGATTACATATAGACAATGCTCTTGATGAAATGGCTAGCGTCAAAATAAAATAACCGTTTGTAGTCATATCTTATCGAAAAGCGCAAGTCAGGATATCCGTACGGGAAAATGACAACTGTGTATTTCCTTCCGCGACATTGCATCACTTACAACCAGGGTAAATTGTATGGGGTTTCTAACCCATGAAAAAATGAATATAACATAAGGAATTCGTCAAAGTAACCCAAAAAACTTGGTACTCACCTAATGCGAGGCAAAGAAGCGACCAGGCGAGAAACAGACGGCTCATAGCAGCCTATTTAGAACCTAAAATGGCAGAATAACAAGCAAGGAACGGTTAGACGGTCGACTTATTGCCTGTGACCTTTAGAGCGTGCAAGCGGCAAGTAGAAGAGCTGGTACCGGTAAAGGTCAGTTGTCCTTGACTCTCGCCTCGTTTAATTGTCCCAAATCAAATTCTTCTCACGTTAAATAAGTGTACTTTTTGAATGGTGTCTGTGAGAGGCTATTGGTGGTCTTACAAGAAAGGTGAAAAAAGAATTTTTAACTGATGCTATACTTATTAACGTAGGTACTTCTTTCTGAGAGGGGTAAACAATCATCGATGTCTTGGAGTAATATATTTGAACTCTTGGGTTGAAGTCAAAGAAACGGTTTTATGCAAAATGATTAGAGTGCTGGACACAGGGTTAGTAAAATTATGGTCAATGAACATTCCAGCTTAAGATTACAAGATCTTTACTTGAATAAATTTTTCCTTACAACTTTCGACCAATGATAAATTGCAAATTGTTGCTGGGATGAAGAAAGTAATGATCAAAAAGCATGTCACGAGCAAGAAGCCCGCAGGTACTCCTGGCGGAAACTTCGGGTGGGGGAATATGAGGCATGATTCCAGAACCCGTTGCCCTATTAGACATCAAAAGTACGCCCCCCACCCCCTTTAATTCAGACATCAATCAGGCTGTTTTCAACTGAAAAGAGTTTTAAAAAAAACCCACCCAATTCCATTTATCATTTCCAGAAAGCACAAAACATTATCCTGTTTCAAGTGAATTTCAGAGCAAAACCTGTGAAATGTATTACCAGTTGTAGTTCAAAAACCGCACTCCGGATAGGGCATCTGTTCTCAAATAAGAACGGCGGTGATTTCGGCGCGATCTCTGTAACGGAGCGAAGCCGCCGCGCCGATCTCTAAAGTGGAGAGTTGCATATCGGATAGGTGTACATAATATACCGGACTGTTTTTCGTGTCGGCACGATAAGCAACTCGGTGTAGTGTGATCATCGATCGCCTTAGATTAATTCGGATTTACAGTCACAATCGCAATCCTCTTGAATCTACGGAGAACCACTTGATCTCTAATTGCGGAGAAGTCATAAATTAGAAAATTAACATTTAAATATTCAAACACTCGAGGAGGTAAATCAAATTGACGTTTAATTGGTTCTGATTGAAAGTTTTCAGAACTTCAGGAGAATTTTGCGCCCGAATTTTAAACTGTAATTCCTTTAGGAGAATATGATACGATCTTAACCGGCATGCATTGGAAAAAGCGATCTCTGCCGCAGTTATTTCTAAGCACAAATAACTATCCCACTGTCTGACAAGTGCTGATAAATCGACCTACCAACCAAGACCGAACAATCTACCCATAGACACACTTAATATAATGAAGAAAAGCGACCAGCTGGGTGGCTGAAAAGAAGAACCTTTAGTCTATGATATATCCGGTAAGTTTCTGTCAGTTTGCACCATGATGGGCGAAGAGTAAAGCAACAATTACAGTTCTCGTTCACAGAGTCATCAATGAAAGTGGTTAACAAAAAATGTGGTCACAGCGTCATCAAAGTGGTACACAACAAATGTAGTAGTCACAACAAAGGTGCCGATAATGGAGTAAAACCGTGAATAAAATAGACCAACGAAACAAGAAATTGTTGCCTTTTTTGAACCAGCACCAATCGAAGGTCATCGTTCCTTCTTTTTCGACTCTTTTAGTCTTGAAATGAACAGTGCTTATTAAGAAGTTTCATTCCTTGTCAATAACTTACCGCCTGGCTTTTGTTTGCTATTCCTTGTCCGTTAGCCGGCGCTTTTATCCTGCGACAAGTGAAAATCTTTCGTAATCGAAATTCGGTTGCTTTTTTTCGCATGGTTTCACTCGAGAGATCTTGGAAGTGACACAAGAGCAAGCTATTGACATGTCATTGAAAACGTCTCACAGTTGAACGCATGGGAAACCAAGGGAAGAAAATCATCTCTCTGAGTAACCGTAAGCTTCTAGACCTTTCTTGTTTAGAATTCCATTTGGTTTCTAAATTGCTACTTTATTAAATGTTTTTTTTTTTTTAACAGGATGAATCCTGTATGAAACGACAGCAAGTGCGAGGCAAATAATCGGGGCGTAAGACTTGGCCCAAAAACGTAACAATTTCATCATGGTCAATTGCTTGGTCGAGAATCATTTATACACACAAAAGGAAAAGGAAGGAAAAGCCTTTCACAGCCATCAAAAGGGCTTATCACTTATATTATGTACCTTGAAAAGGCGGCATTGTAACAACGCTGTCTTACAAAAAAAAGCCAAAATAATAGGAATTAGCCATGCTAATTACATTTTGATATTTTGATTCGATTTGATAATCCTGAAACCACTTCTACAGTACGGTGTTGTACTTAAATTTGACATCAACTGAGATGAGAGAAAGTAAAAATTGGCCATGAAAGAGACTTTTTGAATTTCATTCCTTCAACAGACGTGCAGATCACTGAATGTAGTGAGGGTGCCTTATGTACACTTATTTAGCTTCTTTCAACTCTCCTTTTTCAATTGTCTATGGCAACATTATCTCAATAAGGCGTACTTTCATGGTTGGATTCGACAAAATCTATGCCGTAGTTGGCTCATTTGCGAGACGTCTTGCACTCTGGTAGGATCAGTCTCCAGCCTTGGGTGTCTCGATATGCCCGCGGTCCATGCACTCCAACGGATGGGTCCCCCTTTTGATTGGTCAATCGCTAAGCCCATGCGCCCAAATGACGGGTGAAGAGTACTGGGGACGCATTGAGAAACCCAAGGCTGAAGACTGAGCTTAGCCCTCTAGCGGCTTTTGAGTCTTTGGAGAGGTAAGTAGCGATAAAGTCAGTTAGCGAACAACAGAACAGGTCATCAGACGACCGAAACAAGTTGCGAATAGCCTAAACAAATTAGTGTGTTGAAAGTGGATCCCCTTCCAAATTATAGATAGTCCAAAATTGAAGGATGGTGGACTCTCCCCAGCCCAGGAAAGTACTTTTGTTCTAGTCTATAGCTAGTTCTCAAATGATGTTGTTTGGACGTTTGATTTGCAGGTATATTATATTACATCGGGTTGAAACACAAAGGGACAAGGGCAACCAACGACTTTTTTTTGTAAAATATCTGTTCGAAGGAGCAATATTGCCTATCCTGAAAATTTCTATAGCATATGAAAGGCTGGAAATTTCTAGATAACTGTTCCATTCTTGAACTAATCTACGCTATTCGGAGTTTTTCAAATGAATTTTCCTATGACTTTCGGCAGGTGCACCCAACGAGAGTATAGTTCAAAACCACATAAACAAAGCATTGTTGAACGTACTTTAGTATTTAAACGGTAGATAAAGGCTTATTTTTATCCCCTAAAAATTTTTCATCTGTTCGGATTTCCTAGCTGAAAGTATAGTGATCAGAAAATTATAGGGATCAAAATTTACCTTTTCGAAAATTTAAAAAAAGGCAATTATACGATTTTTTTGAAGTTCGAAAATCCTAGGAGAGGCAGGCAAGCAAGAAATTTGTCAGAAAATGATCCGAAAATTCTAGACCTCAAATCGTCTTCCGAACAGATAATTTTCCGAAAATTGTCGTTGGATGCCCCTGTTTCGGGAATGGATTTTTCGCATATCATTCCCAAAATTCGGTGATTATTTTTTTAAAAAGTCACCCGAAAATTTCGGTATAAAGGAAAATCGCCCCCCTAGAATTTATGGTTATTCCGTGTCCTCGCAGTTTCGACAAGGCGTCGTAATAGCTAAAACGTTCGAGATGGCCAAAGTTCCCTTAAAACATCCAAACAGACAAATGATATTAAAAGTAGCTCCAGATTAACGAAACAGACTTCAAATGTATAGAGAAACCCATTTTAGA